TATTTATGTTCAATTTTAGAATTAAATAATTGAACTTTAAATATTTCAATAATCTTGTTCAATAATTTTTTGCTCATTTCAATTAATCTAATCAGTATAATTCTACAAAAATTCAACACATATAATATACTAAATAGATATAAATATCTTAAAATTTTTAGAAGTGGTGATTTTTTTTCTATTTCTTCATACTGTAACAGAAGTACAACTTTAAACAACTTTAAAACAAAAGAATAAAAAATGTATACAAAATTATTAAAATTGCTAATCATTAATAAATAAAAATAGTAATTTTTTTTAATGAATTTTCTTTCAATAATTATTTGTTATATTTCATTTAATAAAAATAAAGCTGGTTAGATTTGTTTCAGACTCATAGTTCTTTATTAACACAATGTGCATACAGCAGATTAGATTAACAAAGGAGGCGATACTTTCGTATGGAGAGCGATTGTTATTTCTTAATTAATAATGTAGTTATTTACTTTCTCATCAAATATTTTTTTTAATGCGTAAAAGTTTATCGATACTATTTTTATAAGTTTTTTTTTGAAGATCGCGTCAAATTGAATCAAATCTAACAATATTATTATAAATTCGCGAATACATATTAAATTCGTATTAATGATGGTTTTTAATATTATATTGCTTTATATATATGTTACTACTTTTTTTTTGTTCTCGCGATTCCCAAACTGTTCCTATTTTTTTTTTTTTTTAAGTATTCTAATGGAATTTATAATATTTCTACTTTGGTAATATTTCTTAGTTTTACTAATGTCAAATTGAAATTTATATCTTTCACTTACTACATATATATATGAGATCTTCCGTTTCATTTTTTATTCAATTGAATTGTATAAAATTATTATAAGATATAAGATAACTGTACATGCAGAAACGAGTTTGGAAAACACTGAATTATGTTTATAAATATAATTGAAAAATCTTGTCTTCTCGTTTTTGTACAGGAAATAAAAATTGATGATAATTTCGTCATTTTCAAATAAAAATGGAAGCGTGTATTTATAGAAATCAGCAGATAATAAATGAATTTGTGAGAATGTTTATGATGATTCCTTTTCCTTTTTTAAACTTTCTTATAAATATTTCTCTCTAAACACGACTTAGAAGATGATCTTTTTAATCAGTCTTTTCTTTTTTTTTTCATTCATAAGATTATCACAGAAAAATTTCTATGCTGATTTCTTTTTTGTCTCCGATATTTAAATGAATAATTCGTTTCGTTATTCACACAAATTGACGCGATCCTTTAGTTTATATTAAATTTTCACATTCTTTATTGTGTTAAACCTTAAAAGCTATATTAAGATTTTTCTGTCAAACTTTAATGGAATTATTATTTTCTTTCGCGAATATTATAATATAATCGGAAAACTCTCCTGATGAGAAAGACTAGATTTAATAACGCTGAAGACTACAGATTTGTTTGGAAGCTTATGTACAATGAACACTGTCAATCATTTCAGTTGTGTTCAAGTTCTCAAGATTTTATTTTTTTCAGCAGTAAGACATATCAATTTTTGCTTCAACAATATGAATAAATATTTTTAAATTTTACGAATATTTAATATGTAATCATTACAATTTATTTTTTAATTTGAAGAATAATAAGTACATAGAAACATTGATAGCAATCAAATTCTATAATTTTATGTAAGAGATAAAATATAAAAAACTTTAGTTATATCTGAAAATCTATCATTTTTATTTCAAATATATATTTCTTTTTATTTTAAACGTGTATTTTTTTTTTATTTCCATTCAAAATATACTTATTAATTCCATATTAATTATTAAAATCATATTTTTGAAACAGTTGAAAAATTTAAATTATATAAATATAAGGAATTTAATTTGTGAATAGATATTAGAGTGCTTATCAACAACAAAAAGTTAGATTCTAAGATTTTTATCAAAGAAATACGAAAATAAACTTAAAAATTTATACAAAAATTGTTAAACATGATATAAAAATATTCCTAAGATCCGAATAAATTATAATTTATTGAGTATCAAATTTTATTGATTTATTATTTTGAATTGAAATTAATAAATTTTTTTTTAATTATTATTAATTATTGTGATTATTAATATGTGTGTGTGTGTGTGTGTGTGTGTGTGTGTACAAGTTATTTATTTTTCCAAATATAATTCTGTAGCCTTCGAAAAGATTTCTATTACATAACCTTTAAAATGATCAGTCAGTTTCTCATCTCTTAACAATAATGTGGCAGTATATAAGGCATACAAGTTTTCTTCTTTAAACAGCCTCCTTAAGACTTATAGTAGATCCTTGTAACATTGTTTAAGATGATACTGGGAGTTATTTATACATTACGAGACGAGAAACTAACTACTTGATTAATTTAAATTTTTCGTTAGTACTTACATTGCTTTGGAAAGAAAAAGATTGCTTAAAGATTCGAACACTCAAGCAAAATTTGTGAAAGATGACGAATGAGATTGCGAATGTTTATGCTTGATAAATATGTAAAAAGCATATGATACTTATATATGAAAAATATGTAAATATGAATAAAAAATTTGTATATCTGTAAAAAATACACATTTATAATGTACAATATAAGATATAATACATACAATGTATTATAATGTATTATTTATAATGTATAATGTAATGTAATGTATCAAATATTAAGAATATGTTTTCCAATATGATATATTTTAATTTGAATTATGATAAATTACAAGCATTTTCTCTAAATTTAATAGTATTAACTGATAACATTTGTTAATAAAAATTCATTTATATATGGAAAATAATATTTTGATGACACAATATAAATAATTAATAATTAATACATATTTATATTTTTAATTAATAATAATATTTAAATTTATTTCAGCAATATTGTGGCGCATCTATTGTGGCGCATTTATCGATTTTTGTATGAATTCGTTAAACTATTTGAAATTTTAATTAACGCAGTAAATTCTATATATTTTTCTAACAATTAACTTTTATTTCATTCTTTTTAGAAATCATCAGAAATATTTTTTAAATAAATAAGATAATTATTCATTTAAAATATTTTTATTAAATCGTTTAATGAAAAAAGAACCAAAAATTCTTTTATCAAAGTATTTAAATTTTAAAATTATTTAAATTTTTGTGTATTTAAAATTTGTATTAATTTTAATGAATATTAAATTTTCTGTAATTTCATTATGTTAGAGTATTTTTTATGCAATCTTAATTGCAATTCTTTTTTTAAATTTAAATTATTTATTAATAATAAAATAAAATAGTTTTATTCAAAATTCATTTTATTACTTTTGACTATTTAAAAAAAAATAATTCGATAAATTTTCGTCTTCTTAAAATTTTCAATATAAAATAATATTTTAATCTGCACATCTTATCTAATTAAAATAGATTTCGTTAAAAAAATAATATTTTTTAAAATATTTTTTAATATGCTTCAATATGAAGTGATATAAAAATAAAAAAAATTCTTTTTACGAATGATATCTGTTAATCAATGAAAAGTTAAATATATAAATATGATATATGCATATGCATGATAAATAACATATACAATATATTTTTGCATATATTATATATGTTAAATATAAATATACAAAGCATATATATTATGCAAAATAAAAAATATATTTTTAATTATGAAAAAAATATTTCTATTCAAATTTTACTATTGTAGATGTTTTCTATGAAAATTTATGCACTTGCATAAACATTCGCATTTTAATTAATATAATAATTTTAATAATATATTTTTACAACAAAAAAAATTGCTTCATTTTTCGGTTTTAAATGTTAATGCTTACAAAGATTGCTACATTTTTTGTTTATCCATTATTGTGATATTAAAAATTTGTTAAACATTGACATGCACCTAATATTGAGATGGAGATTGCTTATCAATTTTCTTAAACTACGGTTCTATTTTTGTTACAGAATTTTCATTATTATTGTAATCATACAATTATTATTATATATCTATTATATGTTTTTATATACAATCATTCAAGTATAGCTACGTCCATACTTGTTCGAAAAGAACACGATATTACACTAGAACCACTCTTTTTCCATAAACGATTCCTTTTTTATTTATTTTTTTTCTTTAATTTTTCTTTAAATTATTAAAAAGATTCTTTTAATTCATTATTTAGTAATCTTGATTTATCAATAACCGGTTATGAGGTCTAAGCGATCAACTGAACATTATCTACATATGTAGAGAGAATACATTCTCTATTAGAAATAATTATAAATAGCATAAAAAAAAATGAATCAAATGAATTCAATGTTTTTTTTCATTTTTGAATGAATAAATACTATACACGCGTTTCTATAGAAATTATTTTATTTTTATCATCTTGCCAAATTTGTTTTTTTTTTATTGTTTTGACTGTGATTGGATCCTGCCCAATCTAATAAATTTATATATTCAATTGCTTAGGTCTTTTCTTATTTTTAGATCTTTCTTATTTTCTGTTGCATTTTATTTATTTTTTCTTCTTTTCCTTTATTGCGTTGCTTCCTGAAGCAAGCTTTTGAATTTCAACTAGGGAATCACTTGTCTTTTTTTTCTTTATCTTGAAGATAAGTTGGCTTCTTTAATCACGTATAAAAGCACCATAAATCCATTTGCTTCCTTAAAATCGAAAGCAAAAGAATTCATGTGTTCCATATAACAAGAAGACTGACATTTGAATTATCCAGTCATGTTTGGCAGCAAATACTTGTAATATATTGTTCAAGTTTTCATAAGAAAATGTGTATATTTAAGATTTAATATTTTTAGCATAATCTATATAATTTATATATAGTGTCATAGCTATAATAGCATTATAATAGAAACTATGATATTATATATAAATATATAGAAAATATTTTAAACATTATTCTCATTTTTCTCATGAAATTTTGAATACTATACTCTATGTATTTGAAATATACTCTATGTAAGATAATATTACTCTATGTGTTTTTTGTAGGAATTTCATTCGGTCTGTTATTTCTTAGATAGTATTGAAAGGGTATATTACACTTCTGTAGTGCGACTGTATGGGCTGGATTCCTCCGATTGTGAAAGTTTTCGTTCTCGTTTGGTGAATAGACCTCCTAAAAAAGATGGCTGCTGAGCCAATCCTTTAACACCACCAGGGATTGTAGTCCCTGGATGTATAGGGTGAACTTGTCCAGGATGTTTAATGCCTTGGCTCATTGAGCTGGCAGATGTAGATTGAAAAGAAATCGACATACCACTATCAAGTGAACCCACGCTTCCACGTCGCTGCGGTTTTTCACCAGCAACTATGAAAAAATATAAAAATATATTTAAATTCAAATGGTATTTTTTATATTGATTTTTGATATTGCAAATATTACCTAAATCTTCTCAATCGATACATTTTGAAATTAATTTTTGGAAAATTAATCTATATGTAAAATATTGAAAAATAATATTTACATTGTTCATGTATATCCAAAAGAGAATTACTAAGTGCAGAGCGTTTCAATTGATTGTCCATGTCGGTAGTTTCCGATCTTTCGGAACAAGGCCCCGGGCAAGGACATATCTCAACGTCTGCCACTCCAGAATCTCTATTTTCAGCACCACCTCTGGCGCTTCTACTGCTTTTCTGTCGTTCTAGTTCCGTCTCAATCCGTAAGGTTTCCATCTCGTCCATTTCACTGATAGATTCCCTAAGATCCTCAACAAATTTGCATCTATCATGTGCGTTTCTCGCATTGAATGTGACCAATACTTTTCCATCCACGCGTTGGGAAAGTCTAATTCCATACGGATAATCTGAAAGAAAATTAAAACATATAATAATTATTTATGTTTGAAAAATTATAATAAAATACTTCATTAGAGAAAAAAATTAGAATAATAAAAAAAGCAAAAAAAAATTTAATAGTACAAATAAAATATTTTATTTAATTATTAGATATTTGGTTAATTATTATGTTGATATATTATGTAAGAGTATATCAATTTAAATACGAAACTCACGAGGAACTTCAAACAGTGTGACCACCATTCCGCACAATGGAAAACTTTGTCTAAATGTATAAGTAACACTATTTTTCTTTTTACTCAGGATCTTTGTCACAACGAGAAGATCATTGAAGAGAAATACTTCCCGTTGATGTACACCCGGTCTTTCCTTTTTGTGAATATCTGGGATCTCGTACAGTCTACAGTAACAAACTAATCTTCTATGTGGTAAAGCCATATTAGGTTTTTTGCCAACTATTGTCGCTTGAACTTTCATTACTTGAGAAACATGATCTGAACCAGGTTTAAATTCATTTTCCTTCACTCTTTCATAAATTCCAACTAATATATCTTTGTCAATATCTCCACAATCATCTATTCCTCTAAGATTTTTGACAAAGTCATCCAGTCTCATTCTACGCTCTGGTTTTAAATTTGGTGTATGCAAATCAGTATTTAGCATGATTATTGCAAAAGCCAATACAAAGACAGTATCCGCTGAGCGTAGCCTGGATACTACATCGGGATTGCATTGGCAATAACGTTGGCTGAACACTTCCATTAATCTCTCTATTTTTTGAGCTTCGCCAGGCATTCTAAAATATGCTTGGAATTTTCTCAAGGCGACATCTACTTGCATTCCTGATAAATCCAATTCATGCGAAAAACATCTAAAAGAGAAATTGTTAAAAATTATTTTTATTTGTAAAATATATTATATATTTTATATAATATATTATAATATTAATAAAATATATTATAATTAATAATTAAGCATTAATAAATAGTATAATTATATAAAAAATCAGTAACATTATAATTTGAATTTAAATTATGATTCTTTTAATGATAAAAAATTTATTTATTTATTTATATTATTTAGGGATATTTAGAAATATTCCAAATTAATTTTTATTTTAGATTTCAAGAAGAAAATTAATTTTCATATTTTCTTAAAATTTATTTTAATATCATGAATGTTAATAGTTGCGTAACTGCAAGTAAGTTACCAATCCACCTTGACCTAAATTTTTTCTCGAAATTACAAAATGATTGGTTGTAAATAGATCAATACCATTTTTAATATTTCTTTCATAACGATTTACAAAAATATCTTTCGTATCAATCAAAGAATCGAATATAGAAATGAAATCAATTGTGTTTTTAGAAAGATAATAACAGAAAAAAAAATGAGCAATAAATTCAAACTGCGTGTTTTCGATTATTGGTTACTGATAAATGAATAAATAAATAAATAAATTAATTTTGAATGTGTTGAATTTTTTTTACAAAAAAATAAAATGTACATAATGTATAGTATAAAACGATACTTACTCAAGTACAGCCATATTGAAAGGATTTTGAAGATTTCCAAGATATTCTCCTATCATTTGTTTGGATAATCCTTTTCTACTAATCAAAAATCTAGCCACACCCTGAGGACTATTTTCCAAGAATCCTCTTCTGATCAAATAACTGATTCCACGTTCTGGTTTTTTATTAAATAAATTTAAGCCCACTCGATATTGGCGTTTTCTAACCGTTTCCGATACTTTATAGCTTGTTTGAGGTATACTTTCCGGATGGTCCATGAGCGGAAGTTGATAACCGGAACTGGCATGTGAATGACCAAGATCTTTTACACTATTTATCATAGCATTAGAATCTGTAGTATGGTTAGTGCACTCCTGATGTTCTGGTGAACTTGACTATAAAAAAAAATAGGATAAAGTTTAGTAGATTTAAAAAAAATTAAAAATAAAATAATGTATATATTATATTATATATTATATTTTGTAGCTTATTTATTTATTTTTAAAATTTCATCAAAACAAAAATATTAATTTTAAAATTAAATGTTCACACTATATAAATTTCTTATAATAGAGAATAATAAAAGAACAAATTATATATTTTTTTAAATATCATTATGTTAAAGTGACTTGATTAGTCCAAAGATTTTAAAAAAATAAAAAAAATGAGATGGAATCATAGACACAGAATAGGAAAAACCCACGATTCCTTTATGTTTCCATACAGGTGATCCTCTTTGAGCGTCTCCTTCAGAACTCTCGCAATTAGTGGAATCGCTTCCAGAACTCTGAACTGAGCTTAGGCTACCATTTTCAACACTTTTGCTAAGACCATTGTGACGTGGCTCCATAGATCTGGACGTAATGGAAGACGTTCTTTTTGGCACTTCTGGCGGTACTTTTTTCGCTGATCCTCTCGTTCTACCGGCGGAACCAAGATGACCAGCGCTATTCCAGTTTTGAACCACCTGTGTTTGAAGATTATGAGGCGTCGATGGTGATGTACATGGTGTTCGTAGTAGATCTCTCGGCGGTGTCTCTTGTCTGATGCCGCACAATGTCTCCTGAAACACAGGATAGAAACGATTCTTTTTATTGTTATTATATTTATATATGCGAAATAAACGAATTTTACAAATAAAAACTTTAAAATTAAAATAGAAATATTTTTATTCTATGCATGTTATAATAGGAATAATTTAATATATTACAATAAATTTATTAATTTAGTAAATATATAGCTACATTTACTAGAGAGTCAATGTATAAATATAAATATAAATATTTTTTAATTTTTAAAAATAATAGACATATTTTACATATAATGAATATCTTTAATAAAATCTCTACATAAATGCATACATAAATATATTCATTAGTTAATGCATGTATCTGTTATGTAAATGTTATCCTTTTCTCTAATAGATATACTTGCACCTGATTTTCTACAAGAAGTAATATTTTTGGTAGAGAATTTGGTCCTCTTCATTGTTTCTAGCTAATTACATAAATACGATTGATGATTAATTAATAAAACAAAAAATGTAATCCTAAATTATTGTATTTTGATCAAATTTTATTTCAACTTATTTTCCTTTATCATCTATTAAAATAATTTTATTATCTTTTCATCTATTTAAAATTTCATAATATATAACGATAATCAGTATAAATCAAATATCGAATTTCATTAAAATTTGAATAAATTGAAAGAATTTACAATGTTTTACAACATGTCTCGTATCTTTTCAAATTCAAAATTCCAAAGAAACAAATCGATCATATGACGAGAAACGTATCAAATCACCTGTGGATTGTAATAATGCATGCTAGATCCGCTTTCCTGGGAGCTGGACTCCCAGCATGGACTCGGTGGTAATTGTTGGTGTCTGTTGCAAGGACTGGGAGCCAGAGAAGGCGTGTGTCTGCCGCTTTGATGTATATTATGATTCGCGTGTGGATGACCACCGATCTGAACTTCGCACCTGCCGCTCTGGCTCCTCGGTATCGGTGACTGCGAATTCTCCACGTGCCTCCTCTCTCTCAGAGACATGCTTCTGATAGGCATTGGCCTGTTCGCTGTTTGTGGTTGTTGTATATAAATTTGACTGTGATAAACCATCCTTTCGTGCTCGTTTGCGTTCGGGACCCTCTCCGAGGTCTCTTGGAGTTTTCTGCTAAGGCGTTTCTCTGCTTTCGCCATGGCGGTTATAGCTGCGAATTTCTTTAATAGAGTGTATCTCCTAAAAGCTCTTTGAATAGTCAGTGCAGCATTTCTCGCTTTTACGCCGCCGTATTTTCGTTCCAGCATCTCTATCTGTTTATCCAGCAGATCCTGAGATAATTCATACCTGTTTCAAAACCAAAAATTGCAATGAGACGATGAAACTTATTTTGTTTATGAGTTTTGAACTGTGAGATTACAATTGTTTGACTTTTATTTTTATTAAATTATTTTTTTTTTTTTTTTTTTTACGTAGGGTTTATATCAATAAACAGCTTTCGCTGGGAAGGGAAGAATTAAAAAGTTGAAGCTTGAATTATAAATTGTAATAGAATAAACGAAGACGTGCGTTCTGAGAAAATTCGATTCTTTTCAATAGCCACAAACAACGTAATATAGTAATCAATATATATAAAATTATTACGAAAATCAATATTGATTTACAAAGGAGTTTCGTAAAAATTCAATAATAACAATGTAAAACAAAATCTTCCCAAATATTCTCGTAAATTTTAATTATTTATTCCACCTTTCAAATTTGAAAGTGACAAGTTTCAAATTACAAGAGGGAGAAGAGCCAATCAAACTTGTCATGTAATAGTTCTTCGATCGGTGAGTAAAAAAAAAAAAAAATGGAAGGAACGATGAAATCTTGATGTTGATCTTACGCATTCTGTAGCCTGCATCTCTTCAGCACGTCTCCGTTACGTACAGGTCCTTTTTTAAGGTGATTCTGTTGATACCCTGCAGCTTGCGGCTGACCACCATACCCCTGCACCATGGTGCCGTAGCTTTGCGGCTGATTGTATCCCGCGTGAGCGTATACCCTCACGTTAGACGTTGAATTGTACGGCCCGTGAGCGTAGTTCTGGCTTTGAACGTACGACTGGCCCGTGATATAAGATGTGGTCAGGGATGTTTGACTGCTGGACGAGTACACGCCGTGCATACCACTTCCGTGCATTTGGTTCACGTTTGCCGTGTGCTGCGACGGCCTTTCCATCTTTTGAGGGAAACTGCGATAAAAAAAAGAAAAGAAAGTAACGGTTAGTCAAATTATTATATCACGATCTCTTGAATTTCGATCGATAGATCTTTCGCCCAACACGGATAACGTTACAATTTTAGATAAATATTGGATAAGTTTTGGACCCACACTCGCTTTCGTTCGGATTAAGAAATTATACGATATTGATTATTATTAAAAATGGCGAGTGGAATTTTTCAAGTATCAAGGGAGATATTTAGATTATTTGCATGTACACAATATAAATCGTGAACGAGGTTATCGTCGAAGATTCGCAGGTTAATCTCGCAGACTCATCTTGTTCTTGATCATCGTGCACGCGCGTCCATTGGTTTATTGAATATCCGCTCGCCGCGTGATTGCCAAACGTGATTTCCGGAGATCTGCAGATAAATCGTCGGTTTCTATTGAAATGCGTTTTCTAACGTTTACGAAGGTAAATCATTTAATGTATATCAGTCGAATATTGTTTTTCTTTGTGTAAAAAAAGAATCGATTTCACTTTTCGCGTTAAAAAGTTTTTCTCATTTCATTGTTTTCGAGAATTTTATCATACACTCGTCTAAATTTCCGAAAGTAAATCGAGATCCACTCTTGAAATAATTACAATTGAGGAGAGGTTCTGAAAACAGCTTCTCCAAGCAGTGAATTTACCAGAAATAAGCCTGCCAGCCATAACTACAACGAAACATCGCGGTGAATGGTCGCGAGGAAAAACGCCACTTCTGTTCCACCAGCTGCGGGCAATTACCATTCGAGGGACTGTTTCGCGCTCGTGAATCACACACCATGAATCATACCTCGAAATTCACCCCCGTACAATTGTCGGATAACAACCTACCCCGTGAGAAATCCTGCCACGCAGACCACCATGTCGATTCTCCTCTTTCGATCTCACACTCTTTTATACACTTTTCCTTCCCTTCTCGATTTTTTCCCTTATCGAATTTTAATTCGATAATCCACCGCTTCTCGAATACCGCATTTTTCACATCAGAATCACTTCACTTCATCTAATGAGAAAAAATAAAATTTCTTCCTCCGGGAAAGTTTAGAAAGTTTAGTTTTCAGATCTTTGGGAATTTTTCTTTCTTTCTTTTTTTCTTTTTTTTTTTTTGTATGAAAAAGTAATTTTTAAGATTCGTGGAAATTGGAAAAGTTTTAGAAAAGTTTTGGACGGTAATTTTAAATTTAACGAGGCTCGAGAATTTATTAACAAACTTAATTTTAGAAGGGAAACAGACAATCTCTGTTCGGGTGGTGGAAGGTTGGATCGAAAAGAAGGAACGGTTTGAAGGTTCGATGCGAACTGGAGGAAGGGTCGTGACAGTTTGACGATCGTAGGGTGGGCTAAGGTGATCGAGGATCGCGAGCAGCTGGCAGCCACGGGCATTCTTCGAGGATCGGAAATCAGTGACAGTCGGGGAACGAGTGAGCACGTGTACGTCACGGCAATTGCGTGCAACTTTCTATCCCTCGTTGGATAATCTCATCAAATTGTGTATCGAAATTTTCCACGAAATTCTTCTCTTTTTTTTTTTTTTTGGTAAAGAAAGGAGATGATTTGATCATCCATAAGATCATCCGTATGCAAATTCCCTTTTTTATTTTCTTTCTCCTAGGTTTGTAAATCTATCAAAACTGCCTCTATAATGTACAATAAAAATAACAGGTTGTCACGGATAAAATAGAAATATTCGTAAAAAAATTAATAAACAGGATTCCGACTCTTTTTATCTATTATATCTTACTGCTCTAGAACAAACGAATAAAGAAATATGTACGTATATAATATCGAGAAAAAAGAAAAAAATTAATTCGAACCTGAAATGGGTTAAGAGACACTCGAGGATAAATGGCCTGTGTACCCTGGCGAGCTTCGTTATTTCACCAGAAGTGGGGAAGGGTAAAGGGATGCTACCTTTTCAAACAGTCCTTGAAAACGTGTATAGACTTTCACATGTGTGTCAGCAGGTATACGACGGAAGATATCCAATGATGATGATGATGATGATAATAATAATAATAATGATGACGATGGCCGTGACACTCAACCTTCCATACTTTATGCAATATGCGTTCAATTAAACGACTTACGTAAGGTAGAATAAGCGTATGTAAGTTTATGGCTTACACGGTGAGAAGTCTGAAAAGTTCCCTCGTTGATTGGATTTTGCGAGGGTCGATGAGTCATGCGAATTAGATGCATGACGTTTCTTTCTTTCTTTCTTTCTTTTCTTTTTTTTTTTTCTTCTTCAACATTTTGAACATGTAATAGGATTTTTAAAAGAATTTTATCAGAAGAATTATACGCCTTTTCTACTTTCCAAATTTCCCAGACCATTTAATGACTCGTTACATTCTTGTACAAATTTTAAGAGGAGGAAGAATTAGTTTTCTTGGCGAACAAAGAGCATGCCAACAACTGTATCACTTTCGCACCATTCTTTTCCATCAAAGGGGGGATTTTTCTTCCCAACCGTTGCGATGATCGTCTTAAATGGAACGTAATTGCAGGAAAGGCCATAGAAGAGAAATTATTAAAGCGTGCGCACACTCACGATCATCGCGTGTAATCATCGATCGATCCTGACAGAGAAATTAACGGGTAATTGCGTTGTCATTGAATTGCACATCAACAAGAAATTGTTCGTCGCGATGTTATTAATATTATCATTTCGAGCAATTGGAAATTACACTTAATATACAATATCGATAACGTTTTCAATAAATTTTACTTTTTGAGTCATCAATCGCAACGACAAATCACAACGATAAAATAAAAAAAGTAAATTGCGCAAAAACCGTCGAATGTGTCGAATCGAGCACAATTTCATTCTTCTCAATCCTTCCAACTTATGAATTCCATAAATTAATGAATCTATTCGATATAGGGATATTTCAAAATATGTCCCTAGACAATTGTAAAGCAACCGAAAGGATTTTCGGCGCATTTCTTCATGGATTAAAATTCAAGTTGTTTAATACGCGTTTCACAGATCGCAGAAAAAAAAAGGACGAGCAACGTAAATGCACTTTTTTACAAAGTGCTCCTTCGAGGAGAAAGAACAAGAGCGGTTGAGGGATCGAAGAGAGAAAGAGAAAGAGGATACTGGCGTTCGACTGGCGGAGCCACTTTGATTAAAAAACACGGAGCCAGGTGCTGAGCTCTGTTTGTTGTGTGCGCACGCACACGCGTGCAAGTGAGGCAATAGCACGCGCACATCCACCGGCACGAGCTCCGTGCAACAGCCGACAAGCAGATGTTTCGACTCTTGGGAGGTTTTAAAAAAAAAAATTCCACCCTGCCTCTCAATATATTCCAACGAAAGAACGAAAGACCGCCCTCTAATGCTATCGTTTCTACGAGATACTTGTTTGTCCATGTACATATATATATATACATACGTACGTGAAAGTGCAATAAACGAAATATCTGTTTTACCATGCTGGAGATCGTGCGTAGTATTTGAGAATTACGATAGTGAGATTTCTGTTCTCTAGAATGTTGACTCTTGAGCAAAAGTAGCAGAGAAGTGATGTCAATTATGAATTGGAATTGAATATATTTGAATTCTTTATATAGTCTTTTATATAATCTTCGAGCAATCCACGTGTTGTTTCAATTGATTTCGAATACATTGTTGAACGAGATTGAAGAAATTAGGTTAGGTTTTCAATGATAACAACTTTGGGAAGAAAAAAGAACAAAATATATAAATTCTCTTTAAACAAAGTGACAATTTTAAGAACACAAATCGATGCTTAGAATTTTTCCACGATATTAAAGAATTCAATTTCTTCTAGTAAAACAAAAAGAGGTTCAAAAAGAATGTTTTACCGACAATCGTCGGTAAGCAGTTCTATTATCGCTAGGTAAACTAGAGAAGATCCATTCAATCCATTTCTTTTTCTCTTTTCGAAATATATTTCTTTCTCCTTTGAAAACCGAATCGAAATAGCGATCGCGACGTTGGATGGAAAATGTTGCATTCATTCAGGGGTGAAAATAATAGGCTCGGAAGCGGAAAGTGAATACCGTCCTCTCTCTACCGACTCGCCGTGGAAAACAAACGCCCTTTCATCGAGCCTGCTCGCAGTTTGCGCCCTCGATAAATTCTTAGAAGCGACTTCTCCATTGTCTTGGAGCGCCGTTTGACGTTGGACGGCGTCTACTCTATCGTGGCAGACGGGAAAGGAGGGAGAAAGGGGGGAGGGGGGGTTGAGAGATAGTCTAGCGCATAGCCACTCGTGCGTTCATAGGAAGACAAAACCCTCAGACGCGTAGGCTTCAGGTGGAGTGCATCAGCTGCCACTTGGACACGCGCCATAGAAGCCTCTACTGTGTTTCCTTATCCTTTTTTTTTCCTTTCTTTTTTCTTCGCTCCTCTTCCTTCCTTCCTTATCTCCCTCTGATAGAACTTCGTGAAAGACGCAAACGCTTTGATTTTTCTAGTTTTTCGTTTTTTTACAACTTTTTTCCTTTCTTCTTTTCATCTTTTATGTATCTTTGCTTCGTTAAGTACGGAGAACGGAGCAATTTTCTATGAAATTAATTTATTCTTTGTATAAAATTTTCGTAGTTATTATTATTTTTTTCAATATTGAAAATAATTATCAAACAGAGGTAAATTAGCATTATCGATTCAAACAACTTTTTATAAAAACTTTTATAAAAAAGAATCGATTCAATTTGTCCTATACTTTTCGAGATTGTACAAAGTTTTTGTAGAATTAAAAGTCAGGAACAGAACTCGATTTAATAAATCTCGAAAGAATTTTCCGGATTTGAGAAACTGGCGTTCATTGAAGACAAAAGATAGAAAAGATAGGACGAGCAGGCGCAATTTCTCGTGAAATCGTACGATTCACGTTACGCGCATCGCGAAATTAACGTCACGTAATTAAACGGCGTCGCGTGCAAAAGTGCATTCGTGTGCGAGGCGCTCGCTCGCTCACGATCTTCACGAGAATTCTCCTTCCCTTTTGCCCGTGTGTTTCTCTCTGTTCTGTTTCCCCGCTTAGAAAAAAAAAAAAAAATCTAGCGTAGATTTCGAAAAGGAGAAAGAAAAAAAGAAAAAGGGAAGAATCTTTTGCGAGCGTTTTTAAAGAGGCAACGGCTGTTTAAATCACGAGAAAACAAGCTGTTGAAAAAGTAAACCATTTTTGCGCCTTTTCACGGATCATTTCGTGCGAGCGATGCTAAAGGAGCTATTTTGTTGGCAGGTTCGCTTTTCAAACGGTTTGTTTCACGCCAATGCAACTTTGGATGGTTTTATATTTATAGACATTGCCAAGCATTGCGCAATCGATAATCATATGCATTCTAATTATAAACGAGGAAGAAGAATCGTTCGTGATGCACCATTATGTATGCACATAATTTTTTTGGTCGAGGTATTATATATATAAAAGTATATTTTATAAATAGGCGATGCGCAATTTTCCTTTTTTAACCATTACAAAATTCCCTAGTTTCGCGAAGCTAATAAACGAGTGAACATAAATTTTATAGAAAATGAAAGGAAACGTATTTAAGGATAAACGGAAACTTTTGTATTTCTGTTCGATGTGGCTGCGAAACTTTGAAAATTTATAATTCTATAATTTTTGGAATCAAATATCGTCGAGATAGAAAATTATGCGAATAAAAAGAAAAAAAAAAAGAATTGAAAATCGTAATATGAATCAACGAATCGTTTTGCACGATGAAATTGCTTCCAACGTTTTCTTCTAGTTTTTTCCCCTAGTTTTGCTCGAGAGAGCGGGAACCAGCTCGCGTGCTATTACCAGAGGAAATTATTTCACGCAACTGAGGGATCGTTTGAATCCCTAACACCGTTAATGGCAATCAACGGTTGTTGATTGTTCAATGATAATTAGCTGAGACGCGAAGAAGCGGAGTTGTGGTAATGGAGCACGCCTTGATAATTCCTCTAATGAATTCGGGACATCGTGCGTGGCTTCTTCCGTGTAATGAAAATCAACGAATCTCTCCCTCCTCGAGCCTTGTTGTCGCAACTTGTTTCTTTCTTTATTTACGGAGAGATACAGAATAATTTTGTACAATTTACTCGAGATAAAATCGGCAGTATGGTAAATTTGAGGTTAACAAGTTGGGCGATATTTAATTGGGAGATAATCCGAGTGAATGAAAGTTGAATGTTCAAGTGTTGATAAACTCAAGGGGTTGAAGTTACCAAAAATTTGGAAATTCCTAGAACGGGAAAAAAATCTAGGGGAAATTTAGAATTTAGAAATTTGCACTCGGAGAATTTTACGATCGAAGAAGAGATGATCGATCGAGCTCTAAAATCGATTGTTAAACCGAAAACTAAAATTTTCAGGGGAAAATTGGAAGAAATTGATCTAACAGAATTAATTGGAAACATGGAAATATTTTAAGAATCAGAATAAAAAGTAAATGCAAATTGCACGTCGGTATTTATCACTCATTAATTCATTAATATTTACTTCGACAAAGATCTTTCCCTCGACTGTTACAACTCTACTGGCAGTATCTCGCACAGGATAAAATTGCACTCGAATATTTCATCGTGTTTCGAGAGAAGATTTACGCGTGTAAAATCGTCTCGTGGGAACACGATCCACACTCGACAGATATTCTGTCCCCTTTTATGCATGTAATTAACGCGAATAAGTCACAGGAGAGGCCGGCCTCTAGAAGGGTTCTTCGGGTGAAAAATTTCCATAAAATAGCCGGAAACTGTTTGCGTAACTCGAGCCGTGTAGCGCGGCCTCGAAACGAGCCATCGCCCGGAAGTGAACCATGAATTAGGACACGCTGCGAATTACAAATCATAAATTATATTTATACGATTGTTCAATTGTTCCATCTTACCGCGTCCTTTTAATTCCTTTTCTTTCGATTTTTTTCCTCCCCTCTCGATAAATTACACCAGGATCTTGGATCTTACTTGCGGTTAATTATTTTCTAGTTACTTTTCTAGTGGGTTCTAGAGAGAGTCATGTAATTTGCAAGTTTCGAACAATAGGGAATTTTTTTATCGTAAAAAAAGTTTATACATTCATGGAATCATGGAAGGTTAGAAATTTGAGATGAAAATATTGTTTCAAATATTCAAAGATTAAATAATAATTATAATGATGGCCGTTATCAACGTTCGTATTACAAAGATATATCAAGATGTAGCATAAGTACCGGTTGATGAAATTGGTAGGCGTGGAATAGCCCATCTGCAGCCGAGATCTGATCACCTTCTCCTGAACGGTGACAATCCTCGAACTCTTAGAACTCTGGTGCACCTTAGTTGTTCTGATCACTTGGTAACAGTGATGTTTCGTTTGGGTGTTGACCACCCTGTCGCTTCTTGGCTCGATCATCATGAACATGATTACTCTCACTGATCACCACCAATCACTTTTATCACAGAATGTGTCGATGTGTCTCGATGTTTTTCACTCCCGGTTTCATATTTTTACTCCTTTTCGTTATTTTAAACAACGTACCACCGTCTCTAATTACCGATTATCACAATATTCTTTGGTTTGTCTCGTAAATATCGAAAACGTCTTAATTATTCGAGATACATTTCGGTATCCAATAGACCTGTGTTTGTAGGGGGGAAAAAAAATAAGAAAAAATGTACATTTTTGACATTTTTCTTTCAAAAAAAAAAAAAATTGGAAAGAGTAGAAAGAACGAAATATCTGACGACTTTAAAATAAAAGGACTTTTTCAAAAAGGAACGAGAAATTATTTTAGATTCTATATTTGTCCAAAGACGAGGACAAATTTTTTTTTTAAATTTCTTTCTTTTAGAAAAGAGGACGTTCGAGTGATAAATTATAATTAAAGTTGGTAGAATTTCTGGTGGAAGTTTAACTTGAAACAGTGGTTGCTTGAAACTTTAATCGTGGTACTTTAGTAGTTCGTAGGTTTGTAGATACTTAATAATCGATTTGATTGAATTGAATGCCTAGAGATTTCTTAACATGGAATAAGATAAAGGAAAGAACTCACAACTGTATAACTAAAAACTTTGTTTAAAAAACGGAGTTATATAATAATATATAATTTAACAATTTGGAAAATACTTAATATCACTTGGATGATGTAATTATAATTTCCTTTATAATTCTAATATAAATATAATTTCCATTTTTTTTTTTTTTCAGTTCACCTAATCGATTAATATAAAAACGCTCGATCTGATTAAAACGAAAGAACAGTGGAATGACTTTTTTTTTAATTAACACTTTTCAATTCAATGAAAAACACGATTTTTACCTCTCCCTATTTACTCCCAATATTTCAATGAAACTGATTAATATCTAAAGTAAATTTAGCATCGAGTGTCGATGCTAAGAATATATATTTACTCACTTGCATTAACTCACCCGTCCGCGCAACTCACTCACGAAGAAAGTTTTTATCCCCTCAATAGTATGTAATATCTTTCACAATTACTTAATAATTAACTCTCGTATTGTATTTAAATTTATATCCCTCTTCCATCTCCTTTTCTATTAATTTCTTTCCTTCAAAGAAGAATGAAACTGCTTATAATATATGAATGAAAAATATCGTTTTCACTGATGCTTTCCCCCCCGATTAATTAACTACCGATCGCGACTTTCTAACGACAATAACGATTAATATGCGCGAAACGTGGACCGGATAATGGAAATGAAATTACTTTTTCATTTCGCAATTTCGATTTTCGTAATCTTCCGTGAAAAGGAGAAACTTTCGAAAAATGTTAGTTGGATGATTGAAATTAACTTTCCGACTTCGTTACTTGTACAAATTAAAAAAAAATAAAAATTTCACATTCACGATCGAAGAGCCATCGAGAGCCGTTGAATTGAATGTAATAAAGATGTGCACTAAAAATAAAATAAAAAAGACGAAATTGAATGATCATAATGTTGCATCGACAAAATCACAATTTTATTTTTCTTCCATTATTATTGCCCCCGATTTCCGAGCCGATTATTGATTTATACGAAAACGATTTTCCGTCACTGCAATTAATCGCGTTTTGTTGTCCAATTAAATCTCCCGCGTTTAAAACATGGCCGCCGCGAAATATCTCGTCCGAGTAATTAACGGCGCAGCTTATCATACTTAATTATGATACTCGATAATCTCTTCAACTGTCGCGCCACAATTACCTTTTTCTCTATTTTATTTAATCACCCTATTGTGTTATTAATCTCCATTATACTCGCACAATACAAATATAAAGGAAAATGAAAAATGAAGAAAGAGAAATTTGATTATTGACGAAACGAAAGATGTTTAAATATTATTCATTACAGGATATGAATGGACTTGAAACGAAAATATCCTTCGAAACGATCGACTCGATTAGCGAATCAACGTTTTAATAAAAAAAAAAAGTGAGAGAAAAACGATGTTTGCTCTTCAACGAATTTATTAAGCATCGAAACTGTATAGGAATTTTTCACCACGTTAAAATACCGATCACCAGGCGGCGGTTCATTACTATTCCAACGCATTTTTCGTACGTGAGGCCTCGATCCAGTTAAAGAGGAACAAACGGTATCCACTGACACGTTCTAGTTACACGAGCATAAGCTAATTGTGTGCGAATAATTTTTTTCTTCTTTTTTTATATATATAATCGTGTCAACGATGATCGAATAAAAACAACTCTTGACGATCGAGTAATATTCAATTTTCAAAAAGAACGAGTTTTTAATCTCGAGGGAAGAGTAGATGATATCGAGTGAACAAAGATTTTGGTTAAATTCAGTGGATAAAGTATATATATATAGATTGGACTCGAAAGGAGATCATCCCCTAAGAGACTCGTGCTCTCTTGATATTACTCGATAATTAAAAATAGTTCTTCTAGTTTCTCAGAACGAATTACTTTATCGAATCTCAATATTTATTAATGTGTATTAATTATTTAAAGTTTCTTTCGCGATACGTGTGAATATTATATGATGATATGAAGTATTCGATTTGCGTGATGAATAATGGAAAAGGAAAAAAAGAGAAGAACCGATTGATCGACGCGAGACAAACTCGATTCGATGTTTTTTTAATTACTTTTAACGGGTCGTTTCTTACACCCGTTGAATACGTTTTTCGCTTTTTCATCATTTTAATTTCAAAACGAGGAAGGCAAGCCTTCACGAACCGTCTTTAATCCTATTATTCTCTCATTTAAATATTACCTAAATTTGCCAAGCAATGAAATCCATTAGCTGTGGACATTTTCACTTCGAAGTATCATACTACTTTCGTGGAAAATTTATCCATTTCTAACATTAATATATTAAAAAGAAAGAAGGAAAGAAAGAATAAAAATCGTTCGATCTTCTTTTCTTTTTTTTCCTTTCCAATGAATAAATATATATATATATATAATATTTATCCCTTTCTCTAGAAAGCAGACTACAAATTCTCCGAGGAGAACGAAACGCATTAATGATTACAAAATTAAAATTCATAAGAACTGTACAAGAAGCCAGTCTCTTGTTTCTGTAAGCAATTCTAATCTACTCTTTTTCTTAACTCTTCAAGCATGTTAAATTTCTTCGAACGTGGAAGACTTGCGAAATTTAATTAACTCGTTGAAGATAAACAACAACAATGAACTAATGTTTAAAAACAGCGTAACACGTTACGCCATTGAAGCGAAAACAAATAAATCTTACAAAATTTCTATCCGCGCATAAATAAAGAACAATGAATTTTGCAGGAAATTGCAGAATCCAACAGAGAAAATGATTGGAAACAATTTTAAACTCATTCTCAATCGAGTTGAAAAAGTTTTCCTCCTAATCTCGAACAATTTTCCTCGAAAAGGCGAAGGAATTAATAGAACGCGAACAGCTAGAAAAAGGAATCGTGCCGGTTTAGTTTAAATTTAGAGGATCCTTTTTAGAAACAACTGATTAAACCCTTTAACGGTCCGCGAGAGCCTCTCGAATCCGTAAAAGGCGCGCGGAATATCATGGCGCGTTCCCGTTTTCCGGCCGCGCAGGAATTAATCGACCTCGAAGTTGAACACGAAGTTGGAAAATACTAAAGAAACTCCGTCTAATACCTTTTATGGAGTTCCATTTTTTCTCCATTTTGTTTTGTCAGGATTTTTTTCTTTTTTTTTATCAATAAAATGAAAAGAGGATAGGAAAAAAAAAGGAATTGGTCGTCCGGTTCGATGGATTAGTGTGCCATTGGATTAATTAATAGGTTCGTGGTTGACTTATCGTCGAAAATTCAGAGATTATTTTTCTTAAAAGCACGATGAAAATGGGAATATTGTGTTCTTTTTTTCCCTCGGAGAGATCTTCGAAAAGTATCTTGCCGCTTTCTTAGAAACGTGGTGCAGTTTGGAATTTCAGAAGTGAAATTTGTGAAAACTTTACTTACATTCGTTCGTTTCCTTGCGATTCTCGAGTTAGAAGAAGTTAAATAAGCGAGTAAAAATATTTCGAGAAAAATTCAATTTCTACAAGTCAATAAGATAAACGACCTCTTCTCTTCCCGATTCTCAACGATGAAACCGACACGATACAACGAATTTCAAATTAATATTCCAATCACAATGACACCGCTTGCTAAAAATTTCACTCGTGATAATAATTCTTTTTTTCTCAACAAGAGAAAAGGAGAAGTTCGATTCCATCTCCAACTGGATGAAACGAGAAAAATTTTAATTCTCAGAAAGTAAAGCAGAGGAAAACGAGGCGCGTCGAAACGGCTCGACAAGATGCTCGCGCGATCCTCGAGGAACAACGGCACACACCGAGACGACACTTATTCGATAACGCTTATCAGGATCGATCCCCGACAACACGGCGAGAGACGAGGAACGATGAAAATACCACGGCATATCGGCACGCGCGTTGATTCACCAGCGGTCGGCTACGGTACTGCTCGCCGTTAGCTTCGATACCATAATGGAACTGTCAAAGTCAAATGAAAGGTGGAGCGCGCCTCCCACCGGTGGTGACTTCAACGCAATGTACACAATGCGCGGCCTCGAGCTTCACCGTCCCAGAATACGGAGGTCGACTCGACCGAGGCGATGATTTCTTTCCAACTCGAAACATTCGTGATCTTCGTGCACAATATCGGTGAACTTCTTATGAGAGATTTATACGAGAAGTTTATACCCTTTGCACTCAAGTATTCGTATTCAACAAGGTTTCGAATTTTTTTCTATGCGAATGTCTTGACTTACGAGTCGTTTTAATTTGAAAAATAAAATACGTAATCCCTCGATCAGTGAAAATCTTTTATTATATCTTCGTTATCTTTTATTCTATCTATTTATTTCGTTTTATATATATACGTTTAAGCAAAGAAAATATTGTAACAAGAGTTGCTAGAATGCAAAGGTCGAGGCAATTCCAGGGATTGTCACGGATGGAAAAATGTAATGCATAAATAAGTATTTATCGATTCGAAAAATTCGTGATTTTATGTATAACATTCTACGAGAAGAATATTATTTAACTCGTATTTAAGAAGGTTACCGATCGAGGTAACAAAAGTCCCTAGAACGTGATTATATTGTACATGTAATTAGTATAATAAAATGTAGGATGGCGAGCGCAAAGGGT